CTCACAACTAAATCATAAAATCTTATCACATCTTCATCCATATTAAATAATTGTCATATAATTCACTGCAACACAAGCATTTATTATTATACTGGTGTCTTTGTCAAAACCCAACATCTGGAATAGGTTCTCATTATGTCTCATGTCTTTCTTGGCTTTTCTTTCCATAGTAATGTTGGTGAAATATAACTGGGAACAGAAGAACTGTGTTACAATTCAAGTTCATTACACACATTGTGCAAGTGAGTTTGGGCTAGTCAAGTGGCTGCTTGGAACTTCAGATTCTTCTTCAGTAAAAAGTAAATCACTCTTCCCTCACATGTTTGTTAGAGGACTAAAGTTGATGTAATACTTAAAACAACATCTAGGAATAGTTTTCTAGTCTATTGTAGGTTTTCAACAAAAACAGTTTAGTGATATATCATTCAATAAGATGAAACACTATTAATCATTCAACTAGAGGATATACCATTAATACTTTAGATTTTCTCCATTTTGCAGTTTTTTTCTGATTTCATTAGTTTCTTGTATTTCTACAGTAATTTATATGTGTCTCTAGTATAACACTTATTACATCATACCAACATCCTTCCATGGCATATTGCATCTCTACAGATATTATAAGCTCAAAAATTTAAGAACTATATATTTGTGGCAGATCAATTTTTCTTTATTTTGCCATTTAGTGAATTGGCTCACCTATAAGGAATGCTGTAACTTTCAGAGACCAGCAGTGTAGAACCCCCAGGACAAATGAGGCACAGAGAGGAAACAACTAGAGATTGGAGCCATAGAGAAGGTGCCACATGACAAAAGGTCTAACCACAGAAGGAAGACAGTTGCTATGTATGGGACTTTGTAGAACCAGGAGTAAGATACCTCTTTCTGATCTCTCATCTCCTGCCACATTTTCCCATGGGCTTAAAACAACCAGAAGTAAGAAAGCAAGATACCCTTTATGTTAAAGTCTTTAGAAGTCCCTTTCAAGGTACAGAGCAGAGCGGAACAGAAAAGAGATCATGAATGAATACGGTTAAGGAAGGCAAAGACAGAATAACCAGCAAGGGAGTTTCTTTCCAATTAATTTAGATGAGCAAGAGGTGTGACTGCACTTTTAACAACATATATTTCTTCTTGATGACTTGGAGAAATGATCATACCACCATGCCTCTCTTTTTAGATTTGCTGTTGTTGTTAAGTGCTGTGGAGTCAGTTGTGACTCATAGCAACCCTAAAAAGGGTTTCCAGGGAGCAGCTGGTGGGTTTGAACCACAAATCTTGTGGTCAGCAGTACCACACTAGGACTACTTTTTAGAATAGTACTGATTAAAATATTTTATAAATTCTGTCCTAAGTATACCAGCTCCAGTTTTCCTTTGCCTTCTTGCTCATTTACCTTCTTTTCCAATTTAACACAAGAGGGAGATATCCTATATAATGCTACAATACTGAGAAAAAAGAGCAAGAGAGACTATAACAGCCAGCATATCTTCTAAACCCAGACTAGAAGATCTGTTGTGGGTCAGGTTATTACAATGATCCCATATGATGCATGAAATAGGTATGAATGAAAAAAAGTGAGGGACAGGATTCAAGGGATCTGAAACTATATTCAAGGGAAGAAGTGCTAACCTTGAATGCAGCTGATAACAATCAGAAATTCACTCAACCCCAAACATTTAGAGATGAATAAATGAAGCTACCACCTGTATCCACTTCTGTGTCCTAGTAAGTTAATTCTCACTGGAAAATAACTCTCCCCTTTGCCTCTTTTTTTTCAAGGAGTCAGGGGTACAGTTGTTAGATGTTTGGTTGCTAATCAAAAGGTTGGTGGGTCAAACCCATCCGTTGCTCTATGGAAAAAAGATGTATCAGTCTCTTTTCATAAAGATTTATAGCCTTGGAAACTCTATGAACTAGTTCTATTCTGCCATGTTGTTGTTGTTAAGTGCCATTGAGTCAGTTCCCACTCATAGCAACCCTGTATAGGGTTTCTGAGGAGCGGCTGGTGAGTTTGAACT